AAATTAAAATTTTTATGTCCGACTGCAGTTTATTTTTACTACTGATAACGAAATTGTAGAAATTAAAAAGTTTTGGTTGACTAAATCCTACTTTTATCACTGAAAACTAAATTGTAAAAATTAAAATTCTTGTGTCTGACTGAAATATACTTTTACTACTGATATTTGTTTACAAAAATTTACATTAGTCTGACTCCAAACGAATTTTACTACTGAAAACTAAATTGTAGTAATTAATACTTATTTGGCTGACTAAAACCTACTTTAGCTACGAAAACTTAAATTTTGAAAAATTAAATATCCCGTCTGACTAAAATTTACATTTACTACTGATATATTTATTTACAAGAATTACAAGCATTGGTCTGACTAAAACACACTTTTACTACTGATAACTAAATTGTAGAAATTAAAATTTTTGACTGACTAAAACTCACTTTTACTACTGATAATATTTTTTCAAAAATATTACTGAAAGAAAAATTTTAAAAATTACAAACAGATAAAATATAAAGTATTTTGTCTGACTCTAATAGTCTTTTACTACTTAATCTCGATAACGAACACTGAATGTAATATAAATGGAAAAATAGATAAAAAAAAATTAATAAATTATTTGTTTCCTTTATAAGTTTTAATTTAAAGATGAATTTACAAAAAGAATATTTATCGTTTTAAAGAAGATAGCTTCTTAAACATTTTCTTAAAAAAACATTTTTTTTTTCACTTGTAATTTAAAAAAAAACAAGTTTTGAACGTGGAAATTTTTTTTTAATTCTTTTCAATAATAATTGATTTGTCAAAGAGATTTTCAAACTTCTCCAAATCTCCGTTTCAAGATACTCGCGTTAATTTCACAATTCCTGAAATCAATTCCTCGAAGACTATTTGAGTTGCGAATTTGACCAAATACATGAATATTTATTAGAGACAAGACCTTTTCATTGAATATGGACTCGTCATGTTTAGAATTAATTAAGAATACTCGAATAAATCAATATAAAATGGAAAATTAAATTAATCTTTCTGAATTATTGCAAAAAAAAAATTCGCCGTTAGTAGTGCAAGTATATTTGAGTCAGACATAAAATCAAAAAAAAACAAAAAACAAAAAATGTGAAAAAAAATTATCTGAAATTTACTTTTTCTACTGATATATTGAAACAAAAAAAAATTAAATTAATTATTAATAAATTAAAATAATTTAAAAAAATTAAAATAATTTAAATAAATTAAAATAATTTAAAAAAATTAAAATAATTAAAATAAATTAAAATAATTTAAAAAAATTAAAATAATTTAAATAAATTAAAATAATTTTTAAAAAAATAGTTTGAAAATAAAAATTATAATAAATTGCAAAGTATTTTTCCATTTACTGACCTTATAAGGAAATGTGTAATCAATATCCCAAGTGGGTGACCATTGCAATCCACCGAGAATAATATCAAAACTTTGATTAGAATTGAATTTCTTGCGAATTTCAGTGAGATCGTCTGTCTCAATTGTCCATGAAATTTCATCGACAATCAATGTGAGTCCTAATTTTTTTGAAACCGCTGTCAATAAATCACCTTCAATTCCCATGATAGTATCACTGTTATTATTGATAAATGCATATGGTTCAGATTCAAAAAATGCAATTTTCGCCAAACTACCATTCAATGTGAGTGGTGCAAAAATTTTTTCCCTATCATTATTCCAACTATTTGTTTTTTGACAACTACCAAAAAATTTTGCCTCCGCTGGTTCACGTATAATGTGTGGTTTAAATGAACAACTTTTTGCCAATTGTAAGGAATTATTGACAATTGAAATAATTGCGACATTTGCAATTTTTCTTATCCATAATAATTTAATTAATTCATTTGCATCGTTCATGAAATTTTTTATGTTAGCATAAATTTTCGTTAAAATTGCCACGTAAACACATTTTGGACTACAAATGTATAATAAATTTTGTGTCACTTTATTCACTTGTTTTTTGTCATCGAATAAAAGTAGAATATTTAAACTACCATTTAAATTACTTGATGTTGGAAATTTTTCACGTATTATAAAAATTGACATTTCTAATTGTAGATTTTTAAGAAAATATTCACTATTACGTGATAATTTATCGGTGGGAATAATTATTGGTAATCGAGTTGATGGAAGATTTTGTTTTAAAAATTTTGTTAAACATGGCAATTCATTAATGAGAATTTCATTAGTGATTTCATTTTTTAATTCTTGGGGATTTTTATATGTTTTTATTTTGTTCCAATTGTCCATTGGAACAACTATCGCGAATGAATGATCAATTAATATAATGCTAATGAATATAATTAATGACATGACGATAAAAATTGTTGAAAAAGAAAAAAAGAAGTTAATTTAAATGTTCTTTCATACGAATTCTTTAACGAACTGATAAATTTGAAATGTAGTTTAGTTTTTACTATTAAAAATGCGAACATTAAAGTAATTGAACAATGTGTTGGTGCGCAGAAAACTCACTCTTGATCATATTGTCGATAGACACGCAATTTCATGCTTTGAATAGAATATTCATATATATATATATATAAAAAAAATTTTCCTTAAATGTGGTTGTAAAAAATTAAGTTATTTTATTTTCCATTTTTTTGTAAATTTCAATGAAAAAATCAAATTTTTTTTTGAACTAAAATAACAGAAAATTTAAAAAAATGCTTTTTTTAAAAAAGCAAATTTATGTTTTCAATTTTTATTGAATTTATCTATTTAAATATTTTTGTACATTGCATATTTTTACTTTTGTTATTTTTATTTGTTTATGTATTTAGTTATTTATTTAATAAACATAAATTTATTTGCAATTTTTAAACAAATTAATTTATTCAATATTATGTTTATACATTCGATACTTTTTGTTATTTTTACTTATTTATTTATTTAAAAAATTGCCCTGACAATTTTAATTATTTATAATTTTTCTCTAATTTTTTACATAGAAAAAAAATTTTGTCTTGTTTTGAACATTTTTTTTACTTTGGTATTTTCCATATTTTATTTAAATTTGTTATTTTAAATACATTTTTTTTAAATTGTTATATTTATATTTTTATACATTGTTATATTATATATAAAGTACAAATATAATAACAAATAAATTTTTTTTTATGTAATAACTATAATAAATTGATAAACAAATTTTGTGTAAAAAAAATAACAAAGAAAAAGAGACAAATTTTCAATGTTCAAAATGATAAAAAAATTGTGTTTGTCAATTTAAAAAAAAATAATTAAAGAAAAATTATAAATAAAAAAAAATAGAAAAAAGTAAAAACATTGAATTTAAAAATAGAATTGTTTTGATCAATTCTATTTTTTTTTTATTTTGTGTAGTTTTGATAGCGACTTATTTTTTTTTTTGCTCAATAAAATTACACTCAGAAAAAAATTCGTTTGAATCAACCAAATTTTGGTTAAATCAACAAAATAAAAAAATATCTTTTTAACCAAACATTTGGTTGCATAAACCAAACGTTTATTTAGCTCAATCAAATTTTTTCTTTGTTCAAAAAAATTTATTAAAATAAACCAAACAGTTATTTAGATCAAATAAATATTTATTTGAATTAAACAAATTTTGTTTGAACTAATCAAAAAATTGGGTAAATATAAAAAAATAGTACATTTGGTTCAAACATATTTTTTTTTTGAGTGTAGGTAAAAATTTTAATAGCAGTAGTAAAAGATTATTATGGTCAGGCAAAATTGAGGTAATTTTGTAATTTTTTTTTGTATAAGTAGTATTATTTGGCTATTGAAAATTTTTCATTAGTATTGAAATACATTTTCAGTTAGACAAAAAAAAAACATAAAAATTTTAAAACAGTAGTAAAAGTAAGTTTTAGTCAGACGAAACACTTTGAAAACACTTCGAGTAGTAAAAGAAAGTTTCAGTCAGACATTCTCAAATCTTTTAAGCTTTTGTAGCAGTAGTAAAGTCCATCCCCAGTCAGACAGAACGCTTTAAATTTTATTCTAATTTTATGAACAGTAGTAAAAATTCATTTTAATCAGACATTATCAGTGGTTAAAGTTCGCATTAGTCGGACAAAGTAAAATTGAATTATTTTGTTTATTATGTAATAATTAAGGAATAAAAATACCTTTTTATTATTATTATTAATATTATTTTTATTATTATTATTATTATTATTATTATTATTATTATCATTATTATTATTATTATTATTATTATTATTTATTATTTTAAAAAATTATTAATTATTGTTAAAAATAAAAAAAAATTATTAAAAATAATTTAAAAAAAAATTTTGGGGAAAAATAAATGTTTTTTTTTTATAAATTCACAGAGAAAAAATTAGAAAATTTAAATTTATAAAAAAAATTAATAACAGTAAAAAAAATTTTTTAATTGTTTATGAGATAAATTAAAAAGGATACAATTAATTGTGTAATTGATGATAAATTATATTTTAATAGAAGAAAATGAGCAATTTTTTTTTTTCTTATTAATCTATATAGTTTATATTTGAAGTAATATTTACTGGTACGATAGTGGTCACTTTGATCGAACTCGGGTTGCGTGCAGCATTTAATCATGTGTTGCTCTTACATAGTCGAAGAACCGAGATATCTCTTAGAAAAGTATTTTAGTCATGCGATTCAAACATTACAGGCTCTCAAGATCGACACTGCAAATAACTATGTAAAAGTCACTGATAATAATGTTTCTAACCTCGTTTGTTTTTTTTTTCACCAATTTTTATATGCGATTTTCTTCTTGTTTTGCATATATATTTATACGTATATATATATATATTTATAATGCTTTAGGGGATTTATAAGGATAAAATCTTTTTTATAACTTTATAAACTTTTCTGATTTATATTCTAAAATAAAATACTAAACAATAATATATATAAAAAAAGACTTAAATTAAATTTTTATTTAATAATAAAGTTTTTTTTGAATAATTAAAAATTTGTAATTATTTTTTTTGCAGGGCTTTTGTCAGGATATTGTGCGTCTGTTGTCCGAGAAGAATGCGACGACGTTATCAACCTGCCTTTAGATGTAAACCTAGTCAGGTAAATAATTTTTAAAATTTTTAATAATTTTCTGTTAATTTTTTTTTAAATTTAGAATTATTAGAGAAATTTTTTTTATTTAGAAAACAAAAAACAATTTATTTTTAGAAAAAAAGTGTATTTACTTTAAAAATAGTTTTTTTTTCTCCCTAAGCCCTACAACGGGAAGTACATATATATGTACACAGTTCCCTTGCGGTTTATATTATCGATGCTTGTTACGTAAACTTTATATGCTCATATTTTTTTTTTTTTGCATAAAAGTAGAAAATTTTTTCTTATTACTTACTAACATAGCTGCATCATGAGGTAGATCGTCTTTATTATGCTTTTGAATGCTCGTAAAATAAAAAGAAATATGTAATTATATTTAATATCGTTAAAAAAACTTTTATAAAATATATTATTGTCGTAAATAATTAGGCTTTTGTTGCTTTTTACTTTTTATTTCTATTTTTATTTCTTAAACAATGTATGGCCAATTTTGTATTACTAATTAAATTTTTATTCGTGAGACAATAAAAAAAAAAAAAAAAAAAAGTCGGAGGAAGTGACCCATAACCGATAGAATATAGGAAACATGTGTCAAAGCAACACGTAACTACGTATCATTTTACTCAACATAGAATTGTATTTGTAGGCGTATAGAATTTTCGATAAAACAATCGATGTGCTGAAATCAATTTTGTTGAAATAAACCCATGGCTCTCATATTCCAAATAGTATTTATTGGCTTTTTTTTTTTTTTTATTCTATTCAAGAAATTGTAAAAATTCTAATTAAGATTCTGATTGAAAAGTTTAAATTAGAAATTCTTTTTAATAATTTATCATATAAAAAATGAATTATAAAAAATAAAATTAATTAATTTTTAATTTGTTTTTCAATATTGAATTTTTCGAATTTCGATATAATAAATAATTTTAGGTTGAAATATTTAATTAAAATAATTAATTTCATCTTATTTTATTGAAATTCAATTTTATTTCTTTATGTGCGATTTATATATATAATTAGCGATATTGGCTTTGCTGGGGATTTTAATTATAAATTCTAACTTAATTTTCAATATTGCTATAATTAGAATATAGTTTAGAGGAAGGTGACTATTTTTAACACTGTAAAATTAGATTAAAAATTTGAAAAAAAAGAGTACCCGATTTGAAATGAAAGGTTTAATTTAATTTTTTTCAATTTCTATCAGTGTCCTTAGCAGATGAATGACCATAATTAATTTACTCGTGAATTTTATTGAATCGTAAGATATGATAATATCCTTGGGATGCTTCAAGGATATCGGAATTTTCCTTTTGTAAGGATATCGATTAATTTTCATCTGAATCTCAAAAATATTATTAAAATTCAATTTTTTGTAATATTATTTAAAAAAAAAAATTTATATTCATAAATATTTAAATTTATATAAATATTTAGAAAATATTTAAATATTTAAATATTTAAAAATTTAAAAATTTAAAAACAAATTTTTAGAAATTTTTATGTTATAAATAATATTTTTATTTAAAAAAGAAATTAAATTAATTTTTTGTATTAGTTTTTTTTTTTTCATTTTGATGTTAAAGAACTTTTGAAAAGGGTCAAAGATTCCCTTCAAGTTCCCCCATCTCATTGTGAATGAGTTCACAATTGACAATATTCTCAACGCCGAGACCACAGAGCTAAAAGAACGAAGAGAATTTCAAATTTGAGGTCAGAATTTGATAGAACATTGAATGATCTCTAAAGAAATAATTCAACCTCAACCTCGTAGAATAAACTTGATATGTGTGTGTGTGTGTGTGGTAAAAGACTTGCTGATAGAGAGAGGATTCAATTCTAAAGTTAAAATTAGATGTATTCAATTTAAAGATCTCAAAAGAAATAAAGACACTTCAAAATTGAACTCAATATATTCGATTGAGATCTTGTTACAAATTTACAATTAAATTACAATCAATGACAAATTTTGTTACATAAAAAAGAAATCTTTTTAGAATAGATCTATTTTTATAATTTTTTGTAAATTTAATGTAATTTTTTTTTTTTAAATATTGTGTAAATGCCAAATTTGTTTTTAAATTTACTATTCATTTATAACAAAGTTTAATTAGTTTCATTATAATGAAAATTCAATTTCATATTCGATTGTTTAAAATTTGAAAGTGCACGTTTATACAAAGTTTACTTGATGATAGTTATAATTATACTTAATTATTCAATGCCGACGACAACGGGGTTTCTTTCCTCAACAAAAGGTATTATTAAAGCAAAGTGTTGGAAGAGACTTTCAGTAGTTTAAAGTGTCTGACATAATATATTCTTGTTCACTGAAACACTCGTATATTTATATATATATATATATATATATATATCTATTCTAAAATAGATAATATTCACCTCGTGTATTTTAATAATTCCTTCATTTAATTTTCAATTTAATTCTTTATTCTGAAAAAAAATTCTATTAAATCGATATTAAATCTTTTAAAAAAAAATTAATAAAAAATTAAAAATAAATAAAATAGAAAAAGTTTAGTTTAGCTATAAAATAGTGAGACAGAGGTGACAAGATGGATCCTATGATTTTTCAGAGATTTCCATCGAGAAGACTCTGCATGAAGCGTTCGTTCCATAAGGAGAGAAGAAGTCGCGAGAACTCATGTGAACAAACCTACATTTAACGACCGCATCACAAATTCAAGATGGCCAAGATACTGCCCATGACGATTGCACTATTATCAATCCATTTATAGGACGCTAGAACTTTTTCACATCCCTATATATATATATAAAAAAATATATCGTCGACTTTGCCTATACAAAATTCTCGATGAGTTCTTTTTTTCCTTGAAAGAAATCCGTTTTCCATGATATAATTTTTCCTTGCTTTATATCCATATGTCCAGGATAACCAAAGTGAATCTCATCCTTCCTCCTTTTATACACACACATACATACATACATATATAAATATATATATACGAGGATTCCACAGTCTCCAGCTTTTCCCTTTCAGACAATTTGAAAAGGTACCATCACTGATCCCATCTCGTGATAACCCGCTTTATAAGCATCTTAAATCTCCCTGGACGGAGGACAAGCTATTTCATTGAGCGATTATACCGGTATGTTTCTACGTGGATTATAAGTTATTACTTTAGCACATGCACTTGACGGAGAAAGCACCTCTTGCAATATACACCTCTAGTCACAGTTGTCACACAACCCACCAGAAACCCCCTTTTCTCAAACAATATTATATTATAGTCTTTGTCAAATAATGAATTATAATTTCGAAGAAAAAAATTAAAATTTTTATTGTTTTTATTGTAATTGTTTTTATTCAGAGTATAATTGGGAAATTGTTTAAAAAATACAATAATTACGTTAAGTCTGACTAAAACGGACTTTTACTACTTATTATAAAATTAGTAGAATTCTGTCTGACTAAAGGGGATTTTTACTACTGGTAATAAAAGTGTCTGACTACAAACGATTTTACTACTGTTTTTCGAATTTGGAACGTTCGGGTCGACTAAAACTAATTTTTACTACTGGTAACGAAAAAAAAAATTTTGTCTGACTGAACTTTACTTTTACTACTTGGAATATTACTAAAATTAACATATACTACTGATTCCAATATTAAAAGAATTCAGAGCGTTCTGTCTGACTAAAATTGACTTCTACTACTATTTTATCTGACTAATATTGACTCATACTACTGGTACCAACGTTAAAAGACATTTTTTGTATTTCGATTATTTTGTCTGACCGAAACGGATTTTTACTACTAATACCATAATAACACGAATTCAGAGTATTATGTCCGACTAAATTTGACTTTTACTACTGATTTTATTTAAAAAGCATTTTTTAATGGCTGACTAAAATAAATTTTTACTACTTATTGGACATTACAAGAAGTCAGAACGTTCTGTCTGACTAAAATTGACTTCTACTACTATTTTATTTGACTAAAATTGACTTCTACTACTATTTTAATTGACTAATATTGATTCACAATATTGGTATCAACGTTAAAAGACATTTTTTGTATTTAGATTATTTTGTCTGACCAAAACGGAATTTTACTACTGATACCATAATAACACGAATACAGAGATTATGTCCGACTAAATTTGACTTTCACTACTGATTTTATTTAAAAAGCATTTTTTAATGGCTGACTAAAAATAAATTTTTACTACTTATTGGATATTACAAGAAGTCAGAACGTTCTGTCTGACTAAAATTGACTTCTACTACTAGTAACTAAAAATGTCTGACTAATTCGGATTTTTACTACTGTTAGCCAAATTTAAAGCGTTCAGTCTGACTAAAATAAACTTAAACTACTGCTACCAATGATAAAAGAACGGAGAGTCCAGTCCGACTAAAAATGACATTTACTACTAAAATTCCAAACACCAACTTTTGATCTGACTACAACTGACTTTTACTACTGGTAAAAAATGTCAAACTACAGTCGATTTTTACTACTGTTACTTAAATTCGGAACGTTCGGGTCGACTAAAACTAATTTTTACTACTGGTAACTGAAAAAAAATTTTGTCTGGCTGAACTTTACTTTTACTACTTGTAATATTACTAAAATTAACTTTTACTACTGATTCCAATATTACAAGAATTCAGAACGTTCTGCCTGACTAAAATAAATTTAAACTACTGCTACCAATAATACAAGAACGGAGAGTCCTGTCCGACTAAAACTTACTTTTACTACTAAAATTCAAAACACGAACTTTTGGTCTGACTAGAACTGACTTTTACTACTGGTAACTTAAAAAAATTGTCTGACTGAACTTTACTTTTACTACTTGTAATATCACTGAAATTAACTTTTACTACTGATTACAATATTACAAGAATTCAGAGCGTTCTGTCTGACTGAAATTGACTTCTACTACTATTTTATCTGACTAATATTGACTCACACTACTAGTACCAACATTAAAAGACATTTTTTGTATTTAGAT